ACATACCCACATACACACATACACACATACACACATACACACATACACACATACACACATACACACATACACACATACACACATACACACATACACACATACATACATACATACATACATACATACATACATACATACACACATACACACATACACACATACACACATACACACATACACATGTAAATGTATACTTATGTACATATAACATACCATGTTCGTTTCCCAAAGATGGGAATGAACATCCCTCCAGGAGAACGCTGCCGGCAACGCCTTGGATGCTCTGGCGAAGTTGTCGCAGCCGGAGGTCTCCGTGATGCGGGGTGGGGAGGTGGTGAGCATCCCCACGGTGCCTGGGAGACGACAGAGATGGCACCATTTTTTTTTGGGTTGGTGAGTGTCGTTTTTTTTGTGATTTCCCAACGGTGAAGTTGTGATTTTTGGTTGAGTATTGTTTTTTTTGATGGCGACATGTTCGTTTTTGCTGGGTACAACTCAATTTTTGTTGGTTAAGTCTCTATTTCAGATGGGTAAATAAATCATGGTCCTTTGTTGCTTAGTTGCCTATGATTTTTCATGGTTAAATCCCAGTAGGGTAACCCATTGCGCGCACCGAGGTGGACGTGGTCCGTGGGGACATCATTCTGCTGGAGACGGGCGATGTGGTTCCAGCCGATCTGCGGCTGATCACAGCCGCGGACTTGCGGCTTGGGCCAAGAACTGAGGATTACCCTTCAGTGTCATAAAACCTGTCAATGGAAAATCACCTATAAACGGAGGTTTTAGTGGGAAAATCATCTACAAATGGGGGATTTGCCATTGCCACGTTTGATTGCAGGATGATACGCATCATTGAAAGTGTTGTGATGTTAAAAAAACATCAAACATGGTTAATGGAATTTATGTAGTCTATACTATAATATTTAACACCCCCTAGAAACCATGGTTGAAGGGGGGATTTGTTTAATGGCGATTTGCACCTTATTTGGACCATACAAGGGTGGTGTCGAATGTTGATTTGGGGTTGGTATACAGTGGTTGTTTTGTTTTTTTAGCCATCAAACATATGGGGATATCATTGATAAATGATGAATGGTTGGTGATTAAGTTCTGCTGGCTAGTTTATTGGGGAGAATTGCATTCCAGAAGGTGGAACAATATCAACCAATCAGTATAATGGGTTAGGGTCGATATCTCAGATGAGCAGTAACCAGTTGACCCCAGTTGATTAGTTATATATTTGAATGGGGATTTACTGTAACCATCATTCAACCAGGGGCTAAACAACCACGAAAACCGTGGGGATGTCGATCCGATAGTTGAATAGCTGGCTCAAAGGGGTTATCATACCTGACTCCTTGGGGACTATGTAAATATACCATGACCCAAAAAGGGAATCCAGTTTTCAATCAACGAGTATGAAGGGATGACAGGGGGTTTAGCACAATGCTTGGATGGAGATACCATCTAGCAAAATGGGGGGGTTACTCATCAAAATAAGGACGACTAACCATCAACAGTAGGGAATTTTCACATAAACATATAAACTTGGCTTTGTTTAAGGTGATTTTTTATTTTCCCAATGGAAAATCCACCATTTGGGGAATCTATATAAAGGATTGAACCACATTTAGCCGATCATCGGCAGATACGGTGATTCAACCAACAAAAAGGCGAAGGAAGTTGTCAGTCGGGATGAAGCATCCGGAGACTTGGATTTAACCAGCCAAAAAAAAGAACATAAACCAGCAAGCATATCCTCAAAACTTGGATTTATATATATATAGATATATGTATATGTATATGTATATATATATATATATATATCAACCAGGAACATACACCAAAAACACCGGGAATTGGACAACTTGAACAACCACCACCGCTGCCACCCCCAAGGAAGGTCGACGAGAAAGCCTTGACCGGTGAGCCGGACGATGTGTTGGGCCCTCGGTGCAGCCATGGAGCCGCTGCGCCCCGTGGATCTATGTTTGGGAAGATCTGAGATCTTTGGGGAATACCTGAAAATACTTAAAATGAATAGAACTTATAGATTCAAATTGATCAAACTTGTAGGTTGATGGTTGAACATGGACCCAGAAATGGCTTGCTGTGAGGTCCAAGAACACCAAGATCAAGGAACAGCCACTTGGTCCCAACAGTTTGACTCACCAGATCCGTGGAGCCTGGCAGCCGACAACAAACGCCCTGTTTTGTTTCACCATAACTTCTGAAGCACAACTTGAGAATACTTGAGGAACTTGAGTACAAACGTCACCACGGCCGTTTGGATATGTTGGGATGTATCCATTAGCATTTCGTCACACCAGACTGGCACGGGTCAAAACTGGGTTCCCAAGAATGGGAGGGTTCAAGTCCAAAATTGACCCATCCGCGGAAATCCTTGATCCAGTGGTCCAGAACCATGATATCAGACGACCCGAGGACCAAGCTTACACCCGAGAACATGGTTTTCTCTGGATGTCCTGTGGCCAACGGCAAGTGCAAGGCCTTTCCAAATGCAAGTTTCATCCTCTGAGTGCTGCCTTGGAACAGAAGTTCTGGATGCATATCAATTATCTACATAAATCAGCAAATCAATCAATAAAAACCATTCTTGAGTATAGTAACAGTATAGTGGTTGTGAGAGAGAGATATATATATATATACATACATCATATATATATATAATTATACTCATTATTAAAATCTATTAGATTGATAACCATGACTTTCATTTGTTCATCCCGGCACCGGCCAGTCGTCCGCCGTTGCGTGCAGGGCGTGGTGGTGGCCACCGGAATGGAGACGCGCATCGGTGAAATTGCCAAGATGATGGCCTCTGAGGACAAGGAGGCCATGGAAGCCATGAAAAATGGGGGATTTCAACCTCAAAGATGAGGATTTAACAATGAACATTTGGGATTTTACCAGTGAAAATTGAATTTTTCATACTATATATATATATATGTATGTATACACCATATTTTTTGAATGATATTGGGAATTGTCTTGAAAGATGAAGTGAATTTACCCTCCAATCTGTGGCTATTTGGAAAAGAACAAATGAGGTTCTGAATCATTGCATTTTGGGGTAGCCAATTATTGGACAAAGCGATACAGTTCACCATTTCTGGTTTTAATAAAATTAATAAAATCCTAATTTTAGGTTTAATGAAATCCCAGACTATATTAATATATTTAGAGTTGCTTCAATTCCCAAATTGGGAAAGGATGGGGGCATGGGTCTAGATTGAAGGCTTTGAGACAGCAAACCACTTGGTCATTTAGTAGTAAGCCATCTCTTCCAATTCCGGACCCCCAAATGGTGGGTAGGGGTTCAATGAGGTTCCAAACACTGACCCCAAGGCAACTTGGGGCCCCCAAACACATTGACATGAGTTTGTCGCTGCTTACAATCTACCAATTTTGGAGTTTTTTGATGTTTCAAAGTTTTGGGACATTTTCTCAACGGCTCCAAGCTCATCGGTGCTTCTCTTCAGATCCCCCAAATTTCCCATAAAAAAATGGAAAAATGGGGGTTTCAGGGCGTATATGTTTGTATGTTGCTTGTTATGATTTTGTGTTGGGGTTCAATGTTTCATCTTCGCCTTTGATGTTTTTTCAGGTGGGGTTTTGGGGGTAATTTTGTTGCTAAAGTGATGTGTCAATGTTTGGTTCAGATGAGGGTAGGATTTGTTTAGGCTGTTGGGGTTTGTGTTTTGGTTCAGATGAGGGAGATACTGTGGATAGTGTACTTGTGGTTGTCGTTTTTTATTGTCAAGGTATGTCTTGTCTTTTTTTGGGTATGATTTTATTGTGTTTCCTTATCATCAGTTTCAAGACAGAACATTCAACTTGATATCTTTCAAAAGGTTCCATGTCTTTCAACATCTTTCATTTTTTATTCTCTCATTCTCGTCTTTTTTGGTGGCGTTTTTTTCTTGGTTGTGTTTTGATTTGAACGTCTTTCGCTTCGCCTCATTTTTTGCGGACTTCTTCATGGACTTTCTGGATTTCGTCGGGGGCGCCCAGATGAGATGTGCGCGCTGTTTCGTTTGCATGGAAGCATCACTTTTGAGGACATATTGCGTTTCTTGAGGCACTATGTACACTCTATGTACACATTGTGGCATTACACTACACCCAGAGATGTTGATTGCTTTCTCCCGCAGCAGACAGGCTCACAAATGCTCACAAGATAAGATGAGTTCTACTTGCGGCATGTGTTGCACTATGAACAAGTCAACGCATCAAGAAATCGTAAAGTGCTTGAGCTCCAGCACAGTCCCAGTTCTGGAGATTTCCGCCATGGGTATGTCGCGTTGCCTCATTGCCCGATGTTGTGGTTTTCGGCTTCTCATGTCAGGCCGACGAAACCACCGTTGCTTCTCAAACAACGCTCCAGAGAAGGAGCCGACCACGAAACAGCAGATTGGAAAGTGGTTGGTTGCTGGTGGTGGCTCGTTGGCCATCGTGACCTTTGGATGGGATATGTGGCGGCATCGTCAAGAACAAGAACGGCATCGTCAAGAACAAGAACGGCATCGTCAAGAACAAGAACGGCATCGTCAAGAACAAGAGCGAGTGAAGAATATCATTGTGAATGCCTCTTTCAAAGCACGCGAGCCACGTGTCAAGATTGAACGGAAGATAATCAAGGCGTCCAAGCACCACCTTTTTTTTTTGTGTTTGTCCCTGCGTTTCTTGACAGAAGGGATTTGTTCTTGAGATAGGTGTTATTTCATGTCATACTGACATTTTGAATTTGATGCACTATGCTCACTATGCACTGTGGCAGGACGAAATGCACCAGTTGTTGGACTTGGACGACCCCCGCCCAATCCTCATCTGGGGGAACCATGAAGTTGGCAAGAGCACCATCCTTTGGGAAGTGTTGCAGGAGAAACAGTGGAACAATGGAGTGCTCCACATCAAGCTCATGCAGAACAACGACTTGGCCAAGGACGCATTGAGGAGCAGGTTGGCAGTGCTCCATGAAGAGGAGGTGGTGCGTGGTTTGAGAGGTGCCAAGACAAGAATGGGACGGCAACCCATCATCATCCTTGAAGTTCCTCGTGGTGTCTTTAATCCAGATGTGATGAGCAGCGTCTCCGCCTTTGCGAAGTCATGGGGCTTTGATGACGAGGTTGCCAAAGTGCTGGTGATGGTCAGTTCTGCAGTGTCAGCCATGGCTTTTGACGCAGACGGTCGTGAGCGCCGATTCTTTGTTCCACCACTGACGAGTGAAGAACTCTCGCAGAAGGAGGCCATAATGAAGAGCTTCAGTTCATGTGGTAATTGTTCAGTCACCTTCAATCACTTTAGTGCTTTTTGTTGGTGCTACTTCTGGCATGGGTTGGGATGTTTGCAGATGGACGTCTCCTTGTCAGGTTGAGGAATTCCTACGTCATCATGGCGGTGAAGAGGCCTCCACGCACAAGAGCGACATGATTCAACTCACAGGTGGCAACATCGGTGTAATGGAGGACAAGGGTCATGAAACCATGGGACAACAACCCGAAACATCAACGAACCGTGAAACCTTGAAACTTGCCCACATCTCCTGCAGGACGTGGCGGAAAAGGCCAAAGAGACATCATGGGAAGAAGCAAAGTCCAAACGGCTTGCGGTGCAAAGAAGTCAGGTCCAGAACTTCTTGGGCATTGACAAACAAGGTGGCTTTGGCCCAGAAAAGGTGAGGATGGCACGCACCTTGGCCAAGGCCGTGGCGCATAGCTCCTTCGAGCAGTGTGTTGATGCTGAGAGGTTCAGGGAGCACTTCACGCCTGCGGACGTGGCGAGAGCGGTGCGGAGCCGAAGCGCTCATTGCATCTATGTGGATGCGCGGGCAGAGGAGCGACGCTACTGCGCAGTTTCTCGCACAGTGCATGACCTTTTGAAGAAGGTCTGAAGGCGGAAGTGGCAGTGGCGTGTGAATGAGAGTGCTTGGTTCCTTGTAGGACTTTTGGATTGCATGGATGGTGCAATCCGCATTGTGTCCAACCAGACTGGCAAAACACAGAAAGGTGATGATTTTTATTGGGGTTGCACCTACCCTTCAATCCGGGATGCACTCTATCTGCACTGCACAATTGACCGGTGGGACAGACCGCACAGTGTTCCAAGACTGGATGAGCAAAAGTGAAATGAAATGGCAGAGATTGAAGGTTGGTTTGTTTCGCAGTTGTTGGATTGGCACTCAAATGTAGCATTCTTCAGGCCCAGAAGTTTGGTGATGATATCAACCACTTTTCACTGCTTTACAGCATCCAATTGCATCCAATTGCCCTTTTCCACTTGCCGAATGCGTCCCACGCCAAGGTTGTGAAGACATCAGGGACACCATCTATTAGCAGGTCAATCCCAGCATTTGTCATAATGCAAGATTTTGGAAACGGGTTCTATCAAAGCCTTGAAGCAATGAACTATTGAAACAGCCTTCAAAACCTGATTGTTTCGAGGAAAATCCAACCAAATATTTGCTGGCATGACATTTCCAAGCAGTCTCCAGCACTTGACGTTGGGAGCATCCATCGGGTTGGCCTCATTTGCGAACACAGAACACCCCAAAGATACTTAAAGACAAGTCGCCTTATGTAATTAAGATTTGATATGCCCTGCTATTTAGTAGTTGACGGAAAGAAGCAAGAAATGGATGAGGACATCTTTGACCAAATGGTTGAAGCACTCAATCCAGAAACAGTCCAAGAACCCCCAATCCAAGCATCCACCAGATGGAAACCCGATGGAACTTATGACAGAAAACCATTAGACCCCGAATACTTTTCCAAATACTACCAAAAGAAATTATCAACACCCTTCAAGTGTGCCGACTGCGGACGCACCATTTCGTCCAAATCCAATGTATCAAAACATCGTCAAACCAACATTTGTATTAACAGCAGATGTCATTGATGAACTGTTGAACTCAAACCTTCTCAATAACAAATGATGTTGTTGAGAACGTTTTATTCGCTACTTATTCCTGTTTGTTTGACACAATTTTTCGACCCTTGATGTATCGGAACATAATATTGAGACATTACACGCTTACAAAAAGGACACTCAATCTTTTCAAGGTGCTTCGCTAATATTTTGTCTCTATGTTTGTAGTAGTATTCCCGCGACGCCTCTTTTCTCTCTTCTTCCGTCCTATGCGGAACGACCTTATTGACACAATCAGTGTTTTTGATGTAGTGTCCTTCTCGTCTCAATAGTTCTTCCTTACAATTACACGGGTAGTTCTCAATCAATTCAATCTTACAATTTCACGAAAGGTAGCGTCAGCTACCTGAGTTCTCCGTGCTTCAGCACAAGCTTAGGGGGTATTGGGGGGCCAGCCCACGGAATTCATGGAATTCTCGCCGTTATGTATTGGATATCAATTATAGGGGGGGGGGCCCCCCCCCCCGAAAATGGTCATGGGTTCAATTCCCACGGGTGACGCGGTCACGGGCCCCCACATTAGAGGCACACTTTGCATGAGGGAGATGTCCCTGTAGTCCAGCATAATTGGTATGCTTCAGCCTCAATAACAGTTGCTGCAAGGGGTCTTAAAAAGGGGTTTTAAATAAACCCCTTTTCGTGCATCATTTCACGCTGCACAAGACACCGTATCATGCAGTCATGCTCTGGATAAAATCATCTTAGACTGCGCAAAAACGTTTTTGGTGTATCATCTTAGAGGCACAGCATTTTGACACCACTCCTCTCCCACTACACTACCTTTCGTCCGCCTCCGCCTGCTCTCAAGTTCAATACCGAACTCATCAAAGATATCAAACACTGAAATCTTGCTGTTTGTCTTTCCTGTCTTATAGTTGTTGTATTTTGCTCTATGCCTCTCAATTCTTTTACTCAAACTTTCGCAAGTGCTCCCTACATAGGCTTTGTTGTAT